TGAACACACACCCGGAGCAGTGGGCAGCCATTTTTTTGCTGCGGAAAAATGTAGAGTTTAAGCTTACATCTACAGTGAGTTTCAGTGAACAATTTGTTCCTGAACTAGCCCAGAAAACTTTTGAATATAAGACACAAAGAGCATTCTGTTAGCTAACCAACTAAACAACACGTTTCTTGTTTAGGGATGCAGCGACTCCAAAACCAAAAAACCAAAACCACATTTCCGTGTCCTGTTAACATTGTGGTGTGGGGTGTTTGTTTGATGATCATTCATGTTGTGAAATGGAAGGGAAGACAGGCCTTAAGCTGTTGATGGTTTTAGGAAGTAAAATCACTTGGAAAAGGGGAAACTTGCAGTACTTCCTTTTTATGTGGCAATGTTAACGCAACTACAACAGCAGAAAACTCTACGCGTTATTAAGATATTCAAAAGCTAGGTAAAGCAAATTGTAGGTGACACATGGTACTCAAGTAAGTCAAAATCAAGTATACAAAATGTACTTACATCTCCATCGCTAGCTGTAGGAAAGGCTGTTTTTAGGTAGACATGGCGAATAGCTCTAATGGCATTAAACCAATTGACAATCTCCTAAAAGGGAGGAAATACAGAGCAAATACTGTTTAGTGCTCAAGCTGCCTTTAAAACGGGTTCAAAACAAAAAGGAAAAAAAACAACAACTTTGAAATCTACATGACATGTTGTACAATTATTCTTTTTAAAAAAAAAAAGAAAGTTCCAGAGGTTTACCCGCCCATTTTTATGGTAAACAAAAAGGTTTCTGGTGTGATCATCCACACAGTAGGTGATCTGAAGGCCGTAAGCATGTCCTATCTTCTCAGGCTGGAAGGTTGCATTCAGGTCCTTCACAGAAATAGTAGCCTTTGGTCCCTTAGATTCCTGAAGAGTACAGACAGTGTTTAATGAATATCTAATTTGTGCACCTAATACTTCATTAGATTCTATTATTTTCAATCAAAGTCAAATATTTTAAAATGAGTCTAGAATTGTGTTAGATGAAAGATATCGGGTGATTAATAATGCATATTATTAGCTTTGACATCATTGCTCAACAAAAAAGTTCTCACATCCTCCTTGTAGTATTTGAGGGTAAAATCGTGCACTGAAAGAACAAACTTTCTCTCGAGAAACTGTCCGTTATCCTTTCCTTTCTTCCACAGCATGCCCTCGTAGACACCTAGAGCAGGGCAAACAATTTCATTGAAAGATTCATGTTATTCATTGTTAATATTAGCAGATGAAACAGAATAAGGTAAATACATTTTAAAGTACAAAGGTTAACAGAAACCATCTGGGAACTGAAATGGATTACCTGCTGTGTAAGGTCTTTCTGTTTTTTCCTCTGTAAACTCCATTCTTTCATATTTGGCTCGAATCCATTGTTCTCTGAGAACCCTATACAGTGTACACAGAATGCATTTTGTTGAGCTATGTGCTGGGGATAATTGATGTGTAAATTACATACAGTACACATATTATAGTCTGAACGTACACTTACTATTTTATAATAACAAAGCAGATTGCACTAGTTTAGCTGAATATGGCCATATATTTAACTAATACATATGCAATGCAGTGTATTAAGAATCAAGAGTGCCGCTGACAGAATCAAAAGACTGGACAT